ATGGGAAAGAGGAGTAACTCATTCGTATATGTGTTACATCCAGGGGTGGTAATCAGTCCATCTGATATAGGGATTTATCAGAAAATCACAGTTCAATCCAAAGCAGCCTGTAAACGTCAAATAAATATTTGGCAATATTAATAATGTCAACTTTGTCACTTTACGAAAAGTTTTGCAGCCAAAATGTTTCGTACATCAAATGTTTGCCTTCCAAGCCGAAATCATTTTCGCACTCCTTCAAATAGCGAATATTTGCCAATAGATTTGTTAACTGAAAAAAAATGGCTAATATGTTAGAGATTAAATTTACTGCAACAAGACAACTTATAATGCTGGCTGTTGCTAACCACCAGTAGCGACAAGTTTACATCCAACATTTTTCTGCTTTGAAGGTTAATAGCATTTAAGGCGGTCATCGCGTGTAAGCAGGTTTCATTTCAGTCTGGTAGATTCGTTTTGCCCACTTCCTGCCTGTACTACAACTGCCTTTGAAATAACGCCAACCGCATCATTAGTTTTGATCATCATATCTTTTCAGCATATACAACAATTCGCCGCCAATTCTAAAATCAGCTTGTCTTCTGCACTGGATTTCACCGCGGAAGGACAGATTTTCGCAAAGTACGAAATCAGTACAGATGTTGAAGTACCTGAAGCGAAGCCAGGTTTTGTCAAAAGCAATTGCATGAAATAAGATTCAGATACCTCGTTGCAAGTACTTTGTGGAAAACGATCGATTTAACAATTCGCCGACTCGCTGCTCTAATGAGCAAATAACGAAAGACAAAAAGATTGGTCATCGCTGAAACTCGGTCTTCCTTCACTTTCATTAGGCGGTGCTGATCTACATTTCTATGCCAGGTGTGCCTTATTTTTTAAGGCAGCGTCTACAGCCATGCTGCAAGTGCAGTGTAGAGTCTCCTGTTTCCTTCCCACAGGGCGGCGCTCACTTATCACCAGAGGTAGGAAGAAAGGCGAGTGACGAAGATCGGGGCTTGAACTTGAGATCAATCGGTTCTGAGTTCTATGCTCTACCGACTAAGCAACCCCGGTTTGAAGGATTATGCGGTAAATTACCTATA